CGGCTAATTTCTCAAACATGGTACGGACTCAGGTGATGGGAGTAGATCTCTCCCTCACCTCACCATGACCATGAGGTGGTGGTAAAGCGACAGCAATCCTATGGAGGCTCTTGTCTCCAATAGTGTCTTGACACGAATATGCCGCACTCCTCTATAGAGGGATGCTTATGTGTTTTGTGTTGTTTCTTCTTTATTTTTACAGAGTCGTCATTGTATGTTTGTATTGTTTTGTCGTCGTTGTAACCACTTGAATTCAATAATAAATATTTGTCGTTTGGTCGTGATTTAAGTTAACTCCGGTGTCATATGATACCAGAGTTAGCCTGACCCGTCATATCCAAGAGTTTCCTAGCAACTGCCGTAAACTTTAAAAAAAATTTCTTTGTTACTAACCATCAAAATGCGAAATAAATATATCCGTGATAGGGTTGGTGTAGCTCCTATGACGGACAAAATTAGAGAAAGTCGTCTTAAATGGTTTGGTCACATTAAGCGTCGACCATCTTATGATTCGATTAAGAGAGTAGATGTTTTAGATTCGACTTGTGTTAAGATAGACGGAGGTAGACTTAAGAAGACTTGGGCTTATTGTATAAAAAGTGATCTTAATTTATTAGAACTAATTAAAAATATGACACTAAATAGGACGCAATGAAGAAAATGGATTGATGTAGTGGGATTAAGGCTTTGTTGTTGTTGTTGTTTGTTACTAACCATCAAATCATTGTCATATTTTGACCTAACCTTAATTTTTCTTTGTTGATTTTCAAAATCAACTACTTCAAATTAATTTTTCAACACCTTCAATTAGTTTAATGCTTCCTCTTTCACCTTTCAATCCTAAACCCTAGTCATCCCACCGAGGGGATATATGCTCAAGTCTACCGGAGAAGCGATACAATAAGAGATGTGTCGATTCTAGCGGAGATTGGCAGATGTTGAGGATGATACCCAGAAAGGACTTACCCTCGTTGGTTATAGGGAAAGCCGAAGAGAAGAAAGAGGCGAGAACTTCAACCCCTTAGGAAAGATTTCTGTGATAAAGAAGAATGGTCACAATACTTGAAAATCTTATATAAGAAGTTGTTGAAAAGAGGAGGTCACATATGGAGGACGGGAGAATCTGAAGATGAAGCGGGAGATACAACACCAGTTTCTACCAGCTTACTACAAACAAAAACTTCCGATTCTAGCTTCATAATGGAAGAGACCACATCACCGAGCGACCACTGCATCTTACAGACGGTTCAATCTCAAGATCTTACAGTCAGAGTACATCCAGGAGATCACCCAAGATGATCCCGTCAAAGGAAAAATTGATTTAAAGTGGAGAACATGTGAAACCAACCTGCATCTCTAAATTTGTCACATGTGAAACCAATTTGCCTATATGATGAAGCGGGAGATATAACACCAGTTTCTATCTGCTTACTACAAACAAAAACTTCTGACTCTAGTTTCAGAAGGGGAGAGTCCACTCCATCTTACATCCAAGGTTCAAACTCAAGATCTTATAGTTAGAGTACATCCAGGAGATCACCGAAGATGACACTGTCAAAGGAAAAACTGATTTAAAGTGAAGAACATGTGAAACCAATCTGCATCTCTAAATTTGTCTCAACCAATAAATGTTGCAAGTGTCACATATTTGTGCATGCTAAATCTGCTGCATAACCAGGGGGTGATCTATTTCACTTAGAAGAGCATTCTTGAAAAATTGGATATGCACAATAGACTCTAAAGAAGGTGAAGACACAAAGGAGGAGGACCGGCTTCCAATTGAAGAGAAACTCCTTCCGCGTCATTCTCTTGAGATTGAATGAATATAAGTTCTTTTAATGTCTTATAATAATTTTTTTATTAAGCACAAATAGTATATTTTTTTGTTTCTTAATATTTTTTTATTATTGTTGGGTTTACGCTCAACGCCATGGGGTTTACACCTTGCCCCGTAATGGTTAAAACACCTTGCCCAATGCCCACGTCTTTTAAAACATTGGTCATCACTATTAGTTTTGTAATCAAAATCTCTATTTTTTTAGTTGCATACAGATGTGTCCATTTACTCACTTTTAAATTTAAAAAAAACAATTGTACCTTTATTTAAAAAAAATTACTGATATTATCTGCCTATATTTATTATTTGTTGCTTCTATTTGCTTAGCATAATGTTTCTTTAAAAAAAATTAATTATTTATATTGATACAACAACAACAACAATTTTAATTATTTATATTGATATTAACAAAAAATTCTCTTAAAAATTTAATAGATAAATAGTTATTTGAAAAGAAAAAGAGGTGGAAATTCATATTGGTAATCTTTTGATTATCTTTGTGCTTTCTTTTTTATCGAAAGCTATGACTTAATGATAAAGGTAGAGTACGAAGAGTTTATTAGCTCAAATGATCATATTAGTCAAAAACTTGTAATTCTCTCAAGCAATTATTGGTATCTTTTCACGAAAATTTACTTTAAAATGATTTGTGGAGCATCCAAATTTGCTAGCTTATAGTGTGCAAAAAAAAATTAGAGCATATTACCTTTATTATTATCTACTTAAGTCTCAAGAATAAGAAGTTAAAAGTTAAGGAGATGGGGATTTACTTATTGGTGTAGATCTCAAATATTGAAGGAGAAAAGAAAAAAAAATTAACTCATTTTGGTAAATATAATAGTGCGCATAATAAAACAAGTTAAAAATATGATAATTAAATAAAATAAAAAATGCGGAGCATTTCTATTGTGTGCTTAAGAAATAAAGAAATAAAAAAGATTTTTTGATCATGTTAATTATAGTTATTGATTTTGTTTGATTTCTTCTACAATAATGATTATCATTTCATGGTCATAATGAATGATCTAAATCAACTAATTAAAAAAATTTATTTGAAGCTACTTTTTTTTCTGGCGAGTCATAATGAAGAAGTCAATTAAGTTACATTTAAAAATGTTACCACAAAATTATAATTTATTTCAACAAATGTTCAAAAGAACTTTGTTATGATATAGTTGTTGACACTTTAACTTATGACAACTATTTTGCAACTAGCCGGTGACACCCGCAAGAGCTCACATTTTTATACTTTAATTAGTCTTTATGAAAATGTATGTATTCGTATTTAAAGTGCTCGAGATTATAAAAGATGAAGAGATGCATGATCAACAATCAGTTGAAGTGATTTAAAATGCTTGAAATTGATATTTTAATTATAAATGAATTATCATAGTCTTTACAAAAAAAAAAGATCAAGGCATTTTGAATGTAATGAAATTGGTGCAAGTATCAAATCGTTGATTGTAAATGATGAAGGAGAGTGAATTGAGATTAAAAGTGTATTGCTTTTGCAATTTTTTTAAAATTTATGTTTCAGATATATACTTTAAGGTTCATCGACGATTAGTAGGAAGAGGTGAAAAAATCATAAATTTGTTTTATTATTATGCTGAGTTGTTCTATATTGTCATTGTCATACAATTTCAAGAGTTGAGTAACCATTTCTCTGAAATACTGATTTACTTTTTTGCTTAGCGTATAAAAATCCAAGTGATTCATTTTTTTTTCCTTTAGTTATGAAAAACTAATTTGTTTTATAGAGTTATATTATAATAATTTTTTGAAGTAGAGTTTGTGACTCGATTATCAGCTATCAACTTATATCATTGACATGCACACAAGTAATGATTTTTCATCTTAAATGACATTGTTGATCTTACTAAATAGTTTGTTAAAATTAAAGAGTGTGTTTATTTTACTAACTTTACAAGTTGCTATTGTTACAGTTGAGAGAATATTTTCTACATTGAAAATTATCAAAAATCGATTGCGTAGTTGAATGAGGGGATTAATGACTCAATTATATACTCAATGAATGTCTTATATCGTACATTGAGAAAAAAAATTGATTTGTTTCCCAATGAACCTATTATACAATATTATCGAACAATGCAAAATAGATTGAAAAGTATATAATTATTGGTCATTGTTCAATTCATTAATGACAATGAAATGCAAGGTTTTAATTTTTTTGAATCATATGTTATTCTTTTTTCTTAATTAATTTATTACTTTAATAAATTTGGCCTCTAAAAAAAAAAGGGTTAGTTCCTGCATCTGTCTTAGTGACACTTGATGAAACCATCCCCCACACATTCCGGTGAAATCTCTAAATAACATAATCTTTAGAACTGTGAATTTCCTTAATATGGATGAGAATTAAAATTAAGCTGATGCAAAAAAGGAAATAAACAAAAACAGCAAAAACATAAGTAAAAACAGTAATAATCTCAAAGCAATATATGATCTGTCATTCCATTTATAAGCTACAATGCAGGTATAATGTACAAGAAATAAAACAAAAAATAATTTCCTAATTTTGACTATGGAGTAAAGTTAGCTACAATAATTAAAATTGAATTGAATTTAAAAAAAAAAACTATCTACCTTCGGCTGTGAAAGCTGCTGTGGGTGAAGCAGCTGTGGATGAAGCACTAAAGGGCGAAACGTCTATGGGTGAAGCGCTGCGGGAAAAATCTGTGAGGCTATTGGAAAAGCAGCTTCTAGCAAAGCACTGCTAGCAAAGCACTGCAAGCAAAGTTTGTGAGGTGCGGCTAAATCTAGCGAAGCACTGCAAGCAAAGTTTGTGAGGTGCGGCTAAAGGCTGCAGGGAAGCGGCTGCGGCCAAAGAGCTATGAGAGAAATCTGCGAGGTGCGGTCTGGTGCAGTGGGAGAATATGACTAAATTGCCCACCCCTCTTAATTAAAGTCTGAAAATCAGGATGGCCAATTGCTGCCCACCCTAAGTAAAGCGTGGGTTTGTCCCTGCATATAACTTCATTTTGTTTCTATTGTGGCAATAGGTACTATGTATGTTTTACTGACTAATTGCGTATGATCCAGCGTACGTGTAACTTTGTGGTTCATATTGGTCTCATGTATTCTTTTTAAGCAATCGAAGCACGTTTAATTTTTAATTTGACTCTCGTGAACATATCTGTAGGCTCTGTTGCATGCTTCTGTTGCCTGTCATAGGAAACTTATAGTAGATTGGGTGCCTGCCTCTGACCTGGAAGAAACAACTGCAGAAAAGGTTTGCTAATTGATCTTTTTTATCCATTTGGTGTCACTTTTTAAATACTTATGCTAAATAGTTGCTATTGTTTTTGTTCAGGCTCCTGAAGTTCATGAAAAAGCATGGAACCTTCTCAAGGTTAGTGACAAATTTCAAATATTTTGTCTCAATTACCTTAAGCCTGATTTTACTTTTCCTCTTGGCTGCATATTATCATACTTTAGAATTTCTTAATCTGAATAGATTTCCAACTTAGTGTGCAGACGGTATACTAGTTCCTGGAGGTTTTGGGGATAGAGGTGTGGAAGGAAAAATTATTGCTGCGAAGTATGCTCGGGAAAACAATATTCCATTCCTAGGCATCTGCCTTGGTATGCAGATTGCTGTGATTGAGTTTTCTCGCTCTGTCATGAATTTGAGAGATGCTAATAGTACAGAGTTTGATCCTAACACAAAGAACCCGTGTGTTATATTTATGCCAGAGGTATAAGTAGTTTGATTATTGTTCTTCGTATTAATTAATATTTTTTCCCCCTTTCAATTGTGTTTGGTCTAGTGCAGGTTTCAACAATACAAGTGGGTGTCACGATGAGGCTTGGGTCTAGGAGGACTTTCTTCCAGGTTAAAGACTGCAAATCTGCCAAACTGTGAGAGCCTTGAATCCGTTCGACTTGTGCATTATCAATAAATTTGCTTGTCCTTTATTTCTATATATTCTACAACATTTTTTTTAATTAACAGATATGGGAATGTAAATTTTGTTGATGAAAGGCACAGGCATAGATATGAGGTTTGTTTCATTATTATTATTATTATTTTCTTTTTTTTTTGGTGTGTGTGTGTGAGAGTGTGTTGAAGTTCCTATACTTTTTTCAGTCTGTTTTTGTTGGGATATCATGGTGATGGGCAATGTGTTTGAGGCAATCTATTGAATTTGTCTTATGATATCTAGTGCTATTACTTATGTTAATTCTCGATGTGCTTTTAGTTGTTGCATAATTTGAGGTTTTTGCTTTAAGAAGAGCAAGATCTATTGGTGTTAAAGTTGGTAAACCACCCTTGTTATTGCTGATTCATGCCTCTCTTTATAAGGTAAAAGAACTATTTAGCAGCTGAGGAAGGCATGGAAACATTTTGTGCCTAACTGATGCCTGCTACATGGATCCAGCCTCCTATATGGTTCTCCCTAGTATATTGGATTCAAAAAATCATGAGCAGAGCATTGTAATCTCAAAATGCCCATAAGAGCTTTATTGGAACTTTTGTACGGCAACCTGCTTTGATCAAGCAATTAATTGATTTTAAATTGCAGGTCAATCCTGACATGGTTATGCAACTTGAAAGGTCTGGCCTTGCTTTTGTTGGCAAGGACAAAAGTGGAGACGAATGGAGGTCTTCCAGCACCCCCCGAATTTACATTTAAATTTTGAAGTTTCTCAGGCTGTTTCTGTTATAATAACTCAGATAAAAAAAATTTCAGATACTGGAGCTTCCTTCCCATCCTTTCTATGTCGGCGTCCAGTTCCATCCAGAATTCAAGTCAAGGCCTGGAAAACCTTCTGCACTTTTTTTAGGTAACTCTTATTTGTATTTTATGTAGTCAAGCGTTGTCTTATGTCACGTTTTCTTGCATGTTTGAATGAGAAAATATCAGTTCTTAAAATATTTAGGAGATACTGACTTGAAAATTGCTTTATAACACACTGTTCTTGTGACTTTCCTCGGTCCTTTTCGAAGTTTTCAGGAACATCTGGTCTAACATATCATTTTATTTTATTTTGATTTCTATTTGATGTTATTCTCATAGTTATCGTGGTTGCATGTAAACATTGGAATTGATTTTTTTTTATTGTCTGCTTTGTTCTTTTGCTTGTTAGCATTCTCAAACCATGCTATTAGTGAAACATGCAAGCATTGTATATGGTAATCACTTAGCACGTGCTGTTTATTTATGTCTCGTGTTCTCTTTCTTTCTTCTGTCTCCTGCTGATTGGTTTTTTGTAGCCTATCATAAAATAAATCCAGCACAGAGAATAGTTTCCCGGTATAATTTATTAGCTTGTAATTTCTATCTGGAATTTACAATGTAGTCTTTGATAATATATCTCACGATATGAATCTCATTATTTGCACCACATAGTATATAATTAATGGCAAAGCTTAATTGCTCTTTTTGATTTCCATGGCAATTCTTGCTCAATTTGATTTCCAAAGCTTAATTGCTCTAATAAGCTGAATCCAGGTTCAGTTAAATCTTTGAACCTGAGCACCTGACTGCTTTTCATTGACTGCCTTGCACTGGATTCTTTAACTACTATTGGCTTGATTTTGGTAGAAATTATCACATTGCTTAAAAATAGATGATCAATAATTTATCACAAAAGTTAGAACAAATCACTATAAATGTTAGATTATGGTATAAATATATCATCCAAAAGCATCTGGAGTGTTAGAAGTTTAGATAGACCCTCCTATATTGACAGGACTTTGAGATCGTGGAACAAGCATCATGAACAATAACATGAGAGATAGAGAAATGGATTTTGCACGTACACATTTCTATAATAAAAAGGAAAATAACAATGAAATAATAACAGATAATAAATAACTAAATGATGATAGATGAATAAATAACAAAATAATAACATATAATAAATAACTGAATAATAATAGATGAATAAATAAACAATATGAAAAAGGAACAATATATATATTTTTTTAAAAAGCCCAAGGGCTAATATATTAAAGAAAACATATACAGATATGTTGTATGAGTGAGCCAAAAAAATAGGCACCCAACTCACACGGTACACAACACAAAAAAATCAAAAAAGGTACATATAAAAATAAAAAAAACCCAAAACCACCAGGGCGCGGAAAAAGTGAGGGTCATCCCAATTTAGTCCTGCCCCTGCCTCTAGTTCGTGTAAGGTATCCAGCTAACAAATTGGTATGGTGCGTATCATTACCTGAAGTAACCAAAGTATCATCCATAAGATTCCTGAGCTCAAGTAGATCTTTATTCTTCTTCTTCGTCCTGAAAATGTAAACTTGTCGTTCCTCTTTCGAAGAATCAGTCTGATGAGGTAGTAGAGCTGTAGCAGAAGGAATACCAACCGTGATACCTGTAATAGGTTCTAGTATATGTAAAGTATGAGTTGCATCTACACTGGATACTTCCTGAAGATGGAGAGCTGTGAGGTTCTTCTGATTATCAATCCGAACGCTATCCTTTGTAGATAATAATCCTTTAGTATTTTTTTCTATGGGGTTTGAAGGTGCCGCAGTAACAGTAACAGTGTCAGGGGGGAGGGGGGTCCACAGGGGCAACAGACACCTCCTGTCTGATAGTATCCTCCCCAGGTGGAACTAAAATGTCCAGAGCAGTGGGGTTAGCTTATTCACTTAAACCTTAGATTTCAAATTAGGATGTAGCTTGTGGCATTTATCAAGGGTATGCCCAAACATCTTATAGTTGGTACAATATGGAGGTCTGTGTTCTATGACGATTGGTTGTCAATATCCATTATGAGTTGTGCCCAGCCAAACTTCAGTAACATCAGGTAAAGTAAATATCTATTTCCACAAGTATTTTGGCCACCGAGGGTCTGGTTAGGTTTAGATTGAAAGTGAGTAGATCTATCTTCATAGGGTCCCCAAGGATGACCCCAATAGAGTAGAGAACTTGATGATGAAAAAAGTGCAGCCTGAGACCACGTAGACTAAACCATACTGGTACAGTGGAAGGTTCTTGATTTGGGTCGAAATCAAGGGACCACTTGAGTAATTTCTTTGATTTGCCTATGATATTAAGATATTTCTTAGAGAAAATCTGGGTGTAGTCTTCAACCAGGATTAGTTGAATAAACACGTCCCCCATCCATGAGTCTCACTTTCCACTTGCATACTAGTTTAAGATTATCAACACTCTTTTTGATAACTTACATAGGTGAGTGCCCTCACTGAATTGAATTTTCCGTCATAGTTGAAATTTCTAAGTCAAAGAAAATGATTGTTGATTTCCCACCTTTCCTACTTCTCTTCTTAATAAAAGGGCAATCATTTGTATTATCGCGACAATCCTTATAGCTTGAGGGGAAAATAAGTGTTGACTTCACCTGAGAGTTACTCACAATGTGGGCAAAGAAGGCTTTGTCCGATTCAATCAAAGAAGAATTGAGCGTCATCAGAACAGGGAGATTTGTCGGCATTCACCTGCTGCGAGGTCCCCGACACACAGACGAAACGAAGCTGGAGAATCTGTCGGGCAAAGCGCAATGTTAAAACAGAAAACGAGCTGCAACAGAATCTGCGACAGATTACTGCGAAGTCCCGATATGCAGTTGTTGAAGTCGAAACAGGAGGATGCGAACGTGCGAAGCAGACGACAGAGAAGCGCTGAAGAAAGCCGCACATTCGACGCAGACACAGATGCGAATGTACGAAGCAAATGACGCACGTTCGCGAGACGCAGAAAGATTGTGAGCCGCAGTCAACTTCGAAGCAGACGACGCGAGTCGATGACGACGGAGAAGACACGACGACGGAGAAGACACAACTAAGATCTGATGCAAAAAATTGTAATAATTTCTAGGGTTCGCAATGAGTCGAAACTGCAACAGAGCCGATAGCGGAAGACAGCGAGGAGAAGACGCAGCTAAAATCTGATGCGAAACACTGTAATAATTTCTAGGGTTCGCCATGAGTCAAAACCCTAACAGAGCCGATAACGGGAGACATAGCGAGGAGAAGACGCAGCTAAGATTTGATGCGAAACGCTGTAATAATTTCTAGGGTTCGCCATGAGTCAAAACTCTAACAGAGCCGATAACGGGAGACATAGCGAGGAGAAGACGCAGCTAAGATCTGATGCGAAACGCCGTAATAATTGTTAGGGTTCGCCGATAGCGAGAGAAGATGACGCCATCAGAATATAGCACTCAGATTGTTACATGAAGGAACTATATATATTTATATATATATATAGACACCTAAATCGCCATCTTTCCCTCCTTCGTTTAAGTGGACGGAGGACATCAAGAAACCTGTTAGGAAGAATGAGAAGTCTGCCATATTTTTTTACAGAAGCTGAAGGTATTTAACTTGCTTCCTCCTGTCGTCTGAATTTGGTTGGGAAATTTCTATATGGTCATCCCAAAATGGAGCTCATTCACAAAGAATTTGAACTTATGCATCTTGTTGGAGAGTAGAAAATTAGACTATTAGATGGGAGGCACATTCTTATTCAAATTAGTAATGAAGATGATTACATGTGCTTATTTGCTAAAAGGATAATATGGATTGATAACAGAGCAATGAAGATTCTGAAATGGTCTGCGAATTTTGACCCACAGACGGAATCACCAACCATTGGTTTGGATTCGTCTTTTTGGTCTGAAATTTCAATATTTTTCTCAAAAAGCATTGTACTCTATTGCCTTAGCTTATGGAAGCCACTCAAGACGGACATTCTTTTTAATCTTTTCTGTCCATATGAATCCAGATTACTTGTTGGAAGAGACATCATTACACCCGCTTCTAAGAAAATCTGGTTGGGCACACAACACCAAGGATATTGGCAGAAGGTAGAGATTGAGTATTTTCCTCCGTATTGTTCAAACTGTTGTATGTTCGGACACTCCAGTTCTCAATAATATCGTCTACACCCCCACCTCAGACCAAAAAAGCAAACTGTTCCGCTAGAGGCTGTGATTCCATCTCCTCCGGATCTGCTCCAAGTTTTTGACACTATTGATCATCAGAAGGATACCTCGGAAGACGTCACTTTCCCCGTAGACAATATGTCAACCATTCAGTCCCCACTTGTAGCTTCCTCATCTTTGGAACCTCCTATCGTGGGGGAAAGAGAGATTCTCCAGACTCCGCCTGCCTTAAACCCTATCACCGATAATACAGGTGAAAATACTTCTAATGTTTCACTACTATCTCATCAAGTCCAGAAAGATGGTAGTATTACTCAGGCTCATGGGGATTATTATGTGCAACGATCTACAACTGTCCGACCACCTTTGGAATCTACTGATCAAATGAGTCAATCATCGGATGAGGAATGACAGGTCTACACATCCAGGAGGAAGAAGAAAAATGAAAATCTACTTGAGCTCAAGAATTTGATGGATGATTCTTTGGTTACTACGGGCAATGGTACTCATCTTACTAATTTGTTAGTCAGCTCACTTCCACAAACTAGAGGTAGGAGGACTAAAGTGGGACATCCCTAGCATTTTTTTGTCTTTTTGTGGATTTTGGTTTTTTTTCTTTATGTATCTTTGTTTTATTTGAGTTTTGTGTGTGTTGTTTTGTATGAGTTAGACTTCTTTTAGGCTCTCTCATGCAACATTTCTTTATCTTTTCCGTATTAATATGTTTGCCCTTGGGCTTTTATAATGTGTGTGTGTGTGTGTCTATATATATATATATATATATATATATAT